TAATATTATAAAATTTTAGTTTCCACATATGTGGGTTGGGACTTCAATTGTTTTTTTGAGTCAAAATTGATACATAGTATTCTCTTATTTTTAATAGATCTAATTTAATTTATTGACTTTTAGAATCCTATTTCATTTTACGTTGGTTAAACCCTTAATTTAATTTATTAATTATTATACAGATTATTGAGTTTGTCTATAAAATAAAAAAAATTCTGAGTTTGATTCTTAAAATTTAGCTTTATATTGATCCTTTCGTTAAAAAATAATTGGCATATCTGATACTTGATGGTGATGTGTCACATTAACAACAAGACATATTAGCTTTTTTTAAATGGAGGACCAACTTGCAACTAAATTTAAAAATTTTAGAGACCAACTTAAGAATTTATTTAATTTAAGGATCAAATCAAAGTCTATATACTAATTGAGGGCCCAAATTGAGAGTTTAACCCTTTACCTTTTTTCGCTGTTTGGTTTTTTTTGAGCCGCGTGGACCTTTCATTGGTGACACGTTTTTCTAAAGTTTAAATTCCAGTTTTAGCCTTTTCTCTCTCTATTAATTGCTCCAAATGGCTATTGCTTTCAGCCCCTTTACTCTGTTTTCCACACGATCGCTTCGTCTGAGGACAGCAATGGCATCCATGTCCTTTCCTTCCCTCATCTTATTCCTCTCCTTCTGGGTTTCGCTAATGTCACCCGCCTGCTCCCTCAATTGCACGTCGGAAAAGCTGCCGGACAGCAAGAAGACGTTCGTTAATTGTACCGATCTCCCCACTCTCAACGCCACCCTCCACTATACCTACAACGCCACCAACTCCTCACTCTCTGTCGCGTTCGTGGCAGCTCCGGCTACCGCGGAGGGTTGGACTGCGTGGGCCATCAATCCAACCGGGACAGGCATGGTGGGGGCCCAGGCACTGCTTGCGCTCAAATCTAAGGGTTCTCTGTTCGTCAAGAAGTATAACATCAGCTCCTACGCCTCGATCGTGGAGACAGACAAGCTAGCGTTTGATGTCTGGGACCTAAAAGTGGAGTCGGGCACAAGCGGGAAGTACGTGATTTACGCGTCGCTGAAAGTTCAGGATGGGGTGGAGAAGCTGAACCAGGTGTGGCAGGTGGGTGCCAATGCCACTAACGGGCACCCGGAGAAGCACGAAATGGCTCCGCAAAATTTGGGTTCAAAGGCGGAGTTGCAGTTGGTGGAGAAAGCGACCGCTGCTTCGCCTACTGGGTCTCCGGCGTCAGCGCCGGCACCGACTGCCGGCACCAATGGTGGATCGAGGAGGGTTGCAGATTTGTCGCTTGGTGGGTTTGCTTTGATTGTCGCTTCGATTGTGTTCTGAATTTGCGAAGATGACTTAATTTTATGCATAATGGATTTAATTATGTAGTATTGGTAGGAGATTTGATGTTCTTCGTCTTTCCCTTTGGTTTTCTAAATAATTTCAGATTTTCACTATAGTTTCATTTTCTAATTTCCATTTTCTTCTCTTCACTGTTTCTGCTACCCTGTATCCCCTTATGTGTTCAATCATTATTAACCTGGGTTGTCTACCGAATGAACTGGAAATATCTCGAAATGGAAACAGAGGAAACAAAACATTGAAAATAGTGAAAATGTATGTGGACATAAATAGCGCTGTCAAAATTTGACTCGACCTGAAGATTCAAAAAAATTTTTTTTTTTTTTTGAACTAAGTCCTCAAAGGACGGACTCTAAGTCCACCCATGAAAAGAGGTGGGAAATACACCTCAAGTTGTCATTTAGTTCGAAAGATCAAATGTAACTTAAATATTTAATTTAATTTTTGTTAAGTGAGAAATTTTTATATTGAAAATATAAAAAAAAAATTATGAAAAAAAAAAATTTATGTGAATTAAACATAAAATTTCATTATTCTAGTTATTGATATATATATTTTTGAACAAGTTATTAAGAAGTGAGTTCGAAACTCATTCATAGAAAAGGGAGAATGGCAGAATGCACCTCAAACTGATAAATTGGCAAATTGTCAACTAGGCATAGGCCAAGTATCTCTAATTATTGATATTTAATAAAGATTTAAATGCAAATCTTATTTTAAAGACTTACCTGCTTAATTTCTTTATTGCATTAGGGCTTAGGTTTTGATTTTAAAAAACTCAAAGTTATGTGACGGTTTGGGTTGCACAAGGGGAGGTCATTTTCAAGTCCGTTGTTAGTCTGAGATCTATATGATAGATCACGGATAGGCATTTTAAGTTCAGAACTTGAGATTTATGTGAGGTGGCTCAAAATTAATACTGAATTTATGCTTATCTAACATATTTAAAATATTTGATTTGAGTAAAAAGGAGGGCGTAGAAAAAAAAAGGTCTTTTATTTTATTTTATTTTTTTATCTTTGATATTTCTTCATTCATCCAAGTGAGGGAAAGGACATCCTTCATATCCTAAAGTCAATGTTAATACTAATTCTGCTATAAGTCAATTCTTGAATCCAAAGTATTGACTTAAAATTTGATATGACTTGGATCGGAATTTTTTATAAACTCAATTGTGTTGGGGATAGCTCAACCTAAAATAATTCAATTAAAATTAATTAATTTTT